TGTCGATGATCCTGTCCGCTGCCGATCCTGAACCTGCTTCTTCGTCCTTAAGCGAATTGTCCGCGAAGGTGAAAATGGTCTTACCTTTCCACAGGTTAATCATTGGTTTGTTTGCCTGGGATGTAAGTCTCCAATTGTCTTCTAGGATTTCTGGATCTCCACCTTTGGATGCATCAATGATTTCCGTGGTACGCTCTCGGCTAATGTTGTCAGGATTGATTGGACATTCCTTGGCTCCATTTGGTGTGAACAGCGCCTTGCGAGGCGTGATGCGCACACGGATGAGCTGCTTGTTCTTCTTATCAAGAATCCAATGGTCCTGCTTTTGAGACCCAATGATTTTAGGAGTTGCTAGGTCCTCTTTCGTCTCGGATGATTTGGATGCACAAACAGTTTCACTCTTGGAGAGATCCCCGGAGGGAAACTTGATGCTGTTATCATCATCGTAGACGTAGTTGGTGAGGCCCTTGATGGCAATTTCTCCGTGTGATAGTCCGTGCGATTTCACTCTTGCAACTCCAGCGAGGTCGACGAGTGCATGTCCTGTACCGGATACTGGAACTGCTTGACGGTCCATGCCAAAGGCCTTGCATGTGATCTTGTCACATTGAGGTGTGTGCTCGATGGTCATGTAGAGGTTCCGCATCTGACTGATGCTGAGGAGGATCGGTACAGTTCCTTGTTCAAGGACGTCGGTGTTGGTACTGCATGGAGGAGTTGTGTGATATCGGAGATGCAAGGTCCAATTTACCTTGGCTGTTTCTCCGCTTGCAAAAGTGAACTTGGTCTCGGCCGGGATGTACTGAGAGGAGATGAGGTCCTTCATGGGTTCGATGGCCTTAGTAAAACGCTGGATTGCATGCCAGCTGCCCATGGATCTGGTACATCCGTTGTCCAGGATCGCATAGGTCGGATTATGCTGAGGGTTGGTGACAGGCGCCATCAGCTTTGTTGCTAAAAGGCTGTGATTTGTTGTGACGGACAAATTGTGTTCTGAAACTGTATAGCTTCCCGTGGATGGCCTCTTTCTCATGCTGCTGATATGCATCATGGAATGCCATTAATGCTTGTCCTGTGCTGGATGTCTCATGGGATGAGTACCAGCCTTGTTCGTTCCATGTCCATGATTGATCCCAGTCTTGATCTGTCCAACCGGCATAGGCAGGCTCTTGGAGTTCAGCAACTTGCTGCGTGGCAGGATGCTCCTCCGGCTTCTCTGCAATGGCTGCGAACGTTTTGGATTTTCCTTTGTCATGTCCGCCTTTTCCTTTGCCATTCTCATAGGATGGATAACCTTTGTTTCCATCATAGGGATATTGGAATTTGGATTTTCCTTTCTTTCCCTTCTTTCCCTTGCCTTTTCCCCAATATGCCTGGTCGTAGGGATCATAATTTTCATTGGCCATATTGGCCTTCCCGCCAGAACCGCTTTTTCGAAAGGGTTTGAAGCCACCTCGTTGGTGACTGCCCTTCTTGTTTCCTGATTTTCCTTTTCCTCTTCTCTTTTTGAATCTGAAATTCCGCCCCGACACTTTCCTTGCCATGAACGCATCATTCTCCTCGAGGACCCAGAACGTTTCTTCATCATTGTTCGACATGAATCCTTCAAGCCCATCCTCATCTTCAACCCAAAAGCCTTCTTCTCCTTCGTATTCACCTTGTTCGAGGATGAAGAATGTGTTGCTTCGGTTGCCTCCTTGAGGTCGGATGGATGGATCTTGGATGGATGTCCTGGTCGTGGTGAAGAGTTCATGGTAATGCGTCTTCAGCATCTCATAGGAGTAGTTCTCGAGTGAAATGTTTCTCAATGACATTGCGCTGGTCAGTCTTTCTCTCTGCTGATCTGACAATTCACTCTGGATGATGAAAAACTGCGCTATGAGATTATCCCCGAAGGGAAATGCGTCCCGCTGTCTGTCCTGCATTCCGGTGATGTACCGTCTGAGGATCGCTGGATCGTCCTCATTGCGCAGGGTTGGAGGCGGTGCTCTGACATTGGCTTGTTGCTGATGTTGAGCAATTATGCCGCACGCACCAGGCTGCTCTGCAGCAGCCTCTTCCTCTGACATGCGTCGCACACTTGCTTGCCATTTTGGGCACGGCTGCCTTGCGACTCCGTCCACTTCGACGCTGCAGCCGTCGCAGCGCTTTGTCTGCTCGCAAGTGGCACACACGCGATAAAAACTGCACTGCGTTCCGGCGTATTTCTGTGCAAAAGCACCCTTTTCCTTCCAATCCTTGCATGCACGGCTGGTTCGCTTCTGCGTGGCCACGCACGCATTCCTTGCAGACTCTGTCTGGGTCCGTCCGCTTCCATTGCCCCGCTGTGTACGCTGCGATTGGTTTTTGCTCCCGGCATTCCACGCAGACCCTTTCTTCCCGGTACTTGGCGCGAAGCTTGGACCAGTCAATGTCCTCCCCACCTCCCCTGGACACCCCTTTAGAATGCGACGGCGCCGATCCAAGTGGGACGTGGCCGTGACTGGCATCCCAACGCATAGCGGCAAGACTCCGTACAAGCCTCCGCAGTCTTGGTCGTGCCGTTGCAGCCATGCCAGCTTTTCTTGGCCCGGGTCTGGCTTCTCCTGCAGCGCGGCGCTAGAGATTCTGTCCCGGGCGATTGCGTTTTGTGCCTGCTGGCCATGCGTCGCTGCCCATTCTTGGGCACGCAACTTGTTCACGTGGTATTTTACCGCGTTTGTCGCGAAGATCGCCTTAGCCTTGCTGGCCTTGCGCTGCGTTGCAGGACCTGCCGAGTCCACGAGCACGCGTGCCTTGGACGCGCGTTCTCTTGCGCAGCTAGCGCACTCCAGCGAGCGAATGCGGTCTTTGGCGCACTTGCTGTCCATGAGCTTCTTGCACGCCGGGTTTTCGCATTCCAGCGACGACCCCGACCAGCTACCCGGCACACTTGTGTCCTTGCCATGCAGGAACGCATGGTTGTCAGCTGACAGCGTGCCGTCGCGAATTTGGTCCGGTTCGCTCGCATCGCCGTAGCTCGGTGAATCCCTGGACTCGGTGCTCCTTCGCGCCCCACACCAACTCTTGCCCACGAACCGTCTGCGCCACCTTCTTGGACTTGCCGTTGGTCAACATTTCCCAAGGTACGTCTCCCAAAAAGGTCCCTCGCGGAGGAGGCAATTGCCACAAGTCCCCTGCCAGTACGACGTTGAGGCCCCCGTATGGGCGAGCACGCGCGCTTTGCCAAAAGCTCTGCGCTGACCATGCTGATCTCGTCAATGATAAGCCAGCGCCACTGCAAGGCTTTCGTACTCAACTCCAAAAACTTGTGGGCGCTGAGTTTCTCTTCACCCATGCCTTGCCAACTCAGCCCTAGCGCCTGGTGTATTGTGTCCCCGTCTAAGTCGTTGGCCATGACTGCTTGCAGCGTCACGACTTGAAACTCGCTGCCCTGCTTCCAACCTAGTACGTCCTCGAATAAACTCCTCCGCACCAAATTCAGCGCGTACGATTTTCCGGTGCCAGGGCCTCCATGCAAGGCCCATCGTAGCGGTTCCACAGCCGAGCCGTCTTCCTGACGCGTTTCTCGCAACACTTGTTCTGCGACCTTCTGGCAAAACTGTGCTTGCTCGCTGTTGCATTCCTGCACCACCTCGCTCATCCAGCTCTCAATTGCTGCACACCTGTCTTTTGTCTTCTCTGTCTGCACTGTCACACTGGGTGGCACTGTTTCCTCCTCTCTGGCACTCCAAACTGGCTCCGGTTTCCGACGCGCGCCCTGCGCAAGGCTTTTGCCGTCGATTGCAGCATATGGGTTCTTCCTCTCTGCGCTTGCATTAGCTTCTGGCTTCCAGCGCGCCTCCGCCTGCTTCATTGCCTCCACCACCAAACTCCGGCGCCGTGCCCACTTGCTCTGCTGCGACCCCTCTTCTGCTGCGGCCACGCGTGTTTCGCATGCGATCGCCAGGTCGCTCTCGGTCACCAGCAGCTCCTCGTGGTCGTCCTCGTTGTCGCTGTTGTCCAGCTCGTTGGCCGAACGAACGCGATAGACTGCCAGGAAGTTTCCCACATACTGCTTTGTTTCCTCACAGGACAAGCGGAGCAGCCATTTTGGCAGGCTTTGTTCCCAGGATTCGCCCACCTCCCGCAAGTCAGCGACGTATGGCACTGCCGCGGAACCGCGTCGCTTGTCCAGGGTCCACGAGCGTCAGCTTGGCATTCCTGTCCACGTCCCCGCCTGACTTGTCTGGCCCTGGTGCGTGTGCCAGGTGAGGGCACATCGGGCGCAGCTTGCGACGCAACTGCCACCCATGCCGCAACGCATTACCGGCGCTTGCTCCAAAAAAAGCTCTGCTGGCTGATTCTTCGTCTGCCTTTATCGAAAATCTGTTCCTGGGACCAGGCATACACGCGCGTCTCCCGATTTCGCGGCGCGTAGTTTGGCCTCCCCTTTCGCTGTCACAGTCACATCCCATTGCACGTCTGTCTTTGCTTCCCACTCTACCCTTGTGCTGGGCACTCGCATCGGGACGACGTCCCAACATGGGACCAAATCGCTGCTACGGCTGCTATCGTTTCAATGCTATGGCTATGGATTCAGATGTTACACCTTGCCAGCCCCTGCCCAAAGGAGGGGTCGGCGGCACCTGGGCGCTAGCCCATTCTATACCCATTATACAGGATGCTCGATGTGAAGGATGTGCGGCCTTGACCCTGCTGCCAGGAACATGAAGCTATCAGAACCTGTTTCAGCTTTTGCACCACCCACAAAAGCGCAAGACGCCTACACAGTTCACTAAGCTAAAGTACCAAGGTCTTAGCACATCGCAAAACCGAACCTGCAAAAGCAACCCCATCTGTTGCACCTCGGAGCAAAGGGGTGAAAGAGGGACATGAGGAGGACACTGCACTCAATGAAAGCCAAAGCCAACACCAGAAACTAATGAGACACAGGAGAAGCTTTCCGAGATGCGGGTAATGTAAAGAGATGCACACGAGGTGTCGATAAATTAGCCATTCAACTTAATGAGACAATGCTTGTGAACCAGCTGCCATGGAGTTGCGACACGCCCATGGCGCTCATCAGCAGCAATCTGTTGAAACGCTTGGACGTGAAACATTGGGCTCAGCAAACAAAAGGCTGTGGGCTCCGACCAAGAGCCCAGTCGAGGACAACTTTCAGCCAAGTATCATCCCCGAGCATTTCTCTAACAGCAAACGCCAATGGTCCCACCTGGGGATGGCGTCCAAGATCCATATCAGCTTCTCGTGGGTTGCAACGCCCAACGCCCTCTCTGCCCTCTTAACAGCACGACATGGGTTACTTTACAAACACAAATACCACTGCAGCCAAGACTTATTTCCTTGTTCCTGGTCCTTCTCTCTGTCACAAGCACCTATGGCCATATGGAAGTCGAGACCCAGCCTTGTCATGCAGAAGGTCGTTTGTGCCATGTGCATAAAGACAGTGAGCACCATGTCGGCACTCCCCAGCACGCAGAAAATGTCTGCATATTTCCGATTTCGCCTGGCAAGAGCATGTTGGCTTGTAAGGGCCTGTATGATGCAATTTCAGCGACAGTTCTACAGTCACGCCTTGTACAGCTCATCGGGATCATGCGCCCAATCGCAATACTTCCCTCGTGGACAAAAGCCGTAAGGGAAGAAGTCCTTGCACATTTTGTTCTTGAACGTCCTTGCCTCGCCGGGATACCCTCTAGAGCCAACGGCTCGACAGTATGTGAAAGCAGCTCACGAGCTCCAAGCTTTCAACTGTCGATGCGTTGCTGTTCTGGACACTTGCTTGACAAACTACAAGGCCTGATAGTTTAGCGGCTCCACTTGCTCGTCTTCATTGTGAGCGTAATCACAGGAGTCACCAGCGCCGCATTTTTGCAGAAAGTGGAAGAGGCAAAGCAGAATCTTACTGCGGCCTCCAGCCTGCAAGGATCTTCTTGCAAGGATGGCCGCGCACAAGGACACCCAAGCACTATGATTCCTTTCAAGACTGTCTGTGCAAGATTATGCTTTCCCCAGTGGATCCACTTACTACCATAGTAGGTAACCAAGAAGAACCACCATTTAGAAAAGGAGGAAGCCCCTAGTTACCTGGGTTTGCCACTCCAACATGTTAAACACGCCTGTTGAATGTAGCTAATGGATTAGCATCCATTTCCCCTGTGCTAAGATTTCCCATTGCAAAGCCCTTGCTCTTGGGCAGCCAGGCCTTAGCAGCCGCCCAGGGATCGCACACTTGAAGTGGGTCGACGCCCTCCGCGAACTGTCCCTGCAGGCTGCCCTTGGCAAAGGAGTTTATCCAAGACAAGGTCAAGTGAGCGAGCAACCTTCAGAACACAATACATGTGCTCCAAATCTGTCCTGCAGTTGTCGCATCGCATCTTCCTGATCGGCTTTGGCCTGCAACGCTACAGCAGCTCGACATGGACTGGCTTCAGAATTCCACAGACTTCACTTTGGTCTCTCAAGTTGGGGAGATTGTTGAGAAAAAGTGCTCCCGTCTCCGCAACAAAGAAGACTTGCCTCTTGCCTCAGCTGATCAGGAAAATAGATTTGAGACGGCAAGTGTGCACAGGTCAGTCATTGGCATGTGGCACCGCAAGAACCTGCAATAAGCATCTGGCACTGGGGACAAATTATCCTGGGGCAGAGTTCTTGGTCTTCCATTCGGCCTTGCTGCAGGCCACAACATTGCCTCTGCATGACATTGCGTCACAAAAGCAAGTCTGTAGTTCAGGATGGCCACAAGACTAGACGCACATCACATGGCAACTCACTCAACACCAGGCACTGAGGGCCCTGTCAATTGAATAATCCACTGCTTCTTGTCTTCTTCCTGGGTATGCAAACAATGACTTCAGCGGAAACCACCAGCATGAAGGAAAGCCATGAAGTCTCAAGGCACCCGCCCAAGCCAACAGTTTGACCTGGCAGCCGTTCAAGTCCGCCTCGGCTGAACACGAGTCAGAACGAAAGTCCTGCCAGGCACAAGCTTAGGGTAGGCCTGTGTAGGCCTGCAGGATATGCGCATTCTGGCTTTGCAATGTTGAGGCCACAACGTCATCAGACATCCCATGAACCTGAGCGGTGCAGGGAAAGCAACACTGGAAGTCGTGATGCTTGGACGCCCGATGTCAAGGTAAACTCCAAGATTGGTGCCTTGGCGAGGCCTCCTTCTGAAAGAGTGCGGGCCTGGTGCTCCGGCACTGCAGAAAAGCCAGCCATTGGGTCTTGACCTTTGAGGTTTCGAAAATCTGACATGTCACGTTTGGAGCGCCTCCACTCGCGTGCTTGGCCTCTCCTCCTGAAGCTGTGAAGCTGTGCAAAGACCGACGATCCCGGGGCACCCGTCCTTGATCTCATTCCTCTGGTGAGCGTATGCGCAGTACCTGCCTTTCGCGCAGAAACCAGAGAAGTACCTGCTTTCGCAGAGCTTTGTTTTGTCCTTCTCCTGGCGAACTGAAGGGTCCAACCCAGAGTTTTGTGCATCCGAGGCCTCGTAGTCAGGTGGCGGCAGTTGCTCGTCTTCACCATGCGCGAAATTGCAATCATTACCCTTCCAGCAGAAACCCGATTTTTGCATTTTGCACAGCAGGGTCTTTCTGCGAGCACTCTCCTGCAGCAACTCTCCAAAGTTGCAGTGGATGTCTCACATCAGTGCTTCTTTTCTTACGCACAAGTTTCGCAAAAGTATTTGCACACAAGGCATGATGCATGCCAATGCTAGAAGTGACATACAATGGCAGGGCGAGACCAGCCTGCAGTTCTTCCTCTGCATGCGCCTTCGGGCAATATCGGCCATGCTTGCAAAAGCCCTTCTGAAAAAACTTCTTGCAAAGCTCTTCCTTTGGCTTCTCCTGACAATCAAGAGCTGCACTCGGAAGCCAATCCACATGACACATTGGGCCTCCCAACCAGGTGGTGGCAGTTGTTCTTCTTCGCCGTGTGCAAAATCACAAGAGACACCGTAGTAGCAAAAAAAAAGGTGTAATTCTTGCACAGCAGGGTCTTCCTGGGCTGCAAGCACATTGCCACACTGGGGTCAGCAGCTCGTCCTGCCCATGTGCATTGTGGCAATATCGTCCGAACTCGCAAAAGCCCTTCTGAAACTTCTCACAAAGCTTCATCTTGGGCTTCTCCTGGCAGAGCAGTCCAGCGCACGGGTGTGGCAGCGCTGATGCTTCCACCCACCCAAAACGTTCCCAATGACCATTGGGTGAGAACTCTTGCAGCAGCCTGCTGACTTCACTCAAAGCACCCGTCCTGCAATCCAGGTGGCTGGCGTTGCTCAGCTTCACCATGTGCGAAAGCGCAGTTGCCGCCCCGGCTGCATCCTCCCTCCTTGAAATACTGCTTGCACAGCAGTGTCTTCCTTCGGTCTCCTTCCTGCAATGTCTGATGGATGCATCCCAACTACTGCAAGCAACTCTCCAGCTGAAAATATGTTGCTCAACAAGCTACCCCAAACACTCTCTGGCAACATTCGCTTCTTGTGTCTTGCTGCGTCGTGGCTTGAGTCCAACAACTCTCTTCATCGAAATCAACTAGCTGATATGTGCCATGCTCAAAACACGGTGTGTATATATATATAGGGGAAGGTCATCCCCTCATTTTCAAGGTACCTAATCGGGTTTGGTAGAATCCCCTAGTAAAGGCTTGATGACCATCCCCTATTAACCCCCAATTAACCCGGTTTTGACAATGGCTCATATATGATGCAAAACTTATCAACACCTGACATGGCCTGAAACACGCACATGCTTCGCTTAGACTTCAGGGGTTCTTCCCTTGACCTGTGCAAATGCTGGATCCTTTTAACATGATCGTCAGTTGAAAGCAGAAATGCTGCACTGCTCTAGCGGGTTCTGTCGGGCCTGCTCACGCTGTGTCTCAACTGGTGCAGGAGGTGGAGGAACCTGAACAAGGCCACATGCCTCGAAGCGATCAGTCATGTAAGCTGATCGCTCGACCAACGCCACAGCTTTCATCAGGATTTGCCAAGTTGGCGTAAGGAATTCGTCTTGAAGAATCTCTTCGGACTTGGCGGCCCTCTGGGAAAACAAACCCTACGCGAAGGTCTGTGGAACTACGGCAAGGGAGCCCTCACAACACACTTGAAATTGAATTCAAGCTGCTCCATAGTAACTCCCGTGCATTTTAAGAAATTCGCAATCTCGAACCTGGCTCGCTCCCCACAGCCGCGACCAACGTGTGTGTGCAGGATACAAATGTGCCAGGACAATCAACGCTAGCGATAGAGGGGTGGGAAGCTGTTGATCCCGGGCATGCCCTGCGGATAGCGTTGGGACATTCCTCCAAGGCAGCCAAACACAAACTTTGTCGATTTCAACCGCTCAAAGCCGCGTTCTTGTAAACACTTGAAGAAACTCTGTTTTGATGGGCTCAAACCGCGGCTGCGGTCGGGTCAATGTCATGCATGAAACTTCACTCCGCTTCATGTTCTGGGCCTATTGCCAGGGAGCGAATTCTATCCGGGCGCGCAGCAGTCCTTGCACTGTAGGTACATGCGGACGCTATCGTGACCCATGCCTACGTGCTTGCAGCCTCGCTTATGGTACTTCATGCCTGTCTTAGACACAAAGATTTGATCCGGCAAAGTGCTACTGCCTCTCTCACTGAACAGGGTCTTGGTCTGGTTCATGTCCGTCTGCGTCCCTGTGGAGGTCTTGGTTCTCCACATCTTCCTCATCTTCTGAAAAATCATCTGTCTCGTCCATTCCAAAACAACAGTGCCGCATATCACACACAGCACTGCGATGATCATGAAACTGTCCGTGAGTGATTCTTCAGGATCAGTTTCCGTCCGCGCAGCCGAAGTTGCTGTCAGCATCGTCGCAAACAGCATTGCTCGCATGTGCGATTCTGGTGTTCCCAGCGCGCTTGCCATAGTCTCTGTCCACCACCATCCATTCATCACATAGAGCTCCTTTGTCGCGGCATTGGCCTTCTTGATGATGGCGTTGTCGCCCTCCAGGAGGTCCTCCTCCTGCACACTCATCTGCGGTGGCAATCGCTTCATCTCAATGCGATGGCCAGTGTTGTAAAACTGAACGTGTCCTGTCGTCAGCAATTCCATGAGTCTGGGACACTGCATAACCTTGGTGAGTGCATCTGCGGTCATGCACTCCGTTGGCAGCAGGATCATCCATCGTAGACGCCCTGCGGCTCGTGCTTCGCGGTGTGCCAGGATGTAGAGTCTCTGTGACTTGTCCTGGGGCAAGCTTCTCGTGCCCGTTGTCAGCTCGAAGAAGTCCCTGCAGTCCGTGGCAGCGTCCACCGGGAAGTGACGTGCTCCATGTTCCTGAACTGCAAGTAGATCATGTATGTGATGCCGCCAGTGGTGATCTCCGCAAATCGTGCGGAAAGCAGCGTTGACGTTTCAAATCCATTGATGGCCGCCAAGGTCTCGCCGTGGCTTGTTGAGTAGCTGATTCTCTTGGCCTTGTTGCTGCTAGCATAGACCACCTGCGCTCTTCCAGAAAGCTGGTTCTTGGCGAATCCGTCGTCCACAACGTAGTGCTCCTTCGGAATGTTGACGTTGTCTGCCATGAGCAAAATCACCACACCTTCTTGTGCATAGTTCTTCGTTGAGCTTGCCGCCGAGGCATCATGAATGCAGAAAATGCGAAGATGCCGTCGTGGTAGAGGTCGGTAGATCAGACATGCTTCAATGTCATCTTGAGCTCTCTTGATCAATGCTTTGGCTTGTCGAAGGTGAGCGCCCTTTGCTTTGGTAACCACACTCTGCAAAACTGCAAGCTCTGCCATCAGATCCGGCCTTGTCACACAGGCCCACATCAGTCCACCAACCACAGACCTTAACTGCGTGATCTGTCGTGGACTGAGCAGCTTGTCATCCTCGTGGTCCTTCTCGATGACAGGGCCCTTGAGCAGCTTGACGTACTCGCTCTGGTCAATCCTGTAACCGTCGGAGTACTTGGAGTAGACACATCCACAATGGGTGAACGGCAGCGTTTGGCGCGTCAGCTTGCCAAACTTCTTGACCATGAGGTTGTACACCTTGTCCAGCCATTTCTGTCCAGCAGTAGTAGCCAGGTCATCCACGTGAGTGGTCATGCTGGCTTCTGGCCACTGGATACACTCGTCTCGCTTTGGCTGAGGCCATATCCAGTAGTTCTCGTCGAAAGACGCTCTGGACCGCACCCAGCTCGCTCAGGTACTGGTGCAGGTAGAGTTGCCATGCCAGTGGTGCTTATGAGAGTCCGTAGATGGGCTTGAGGCAAGTCAGGCAGTACTCCATCTCTGTGCCTGGTTCCACATAGAGGTCCTTGTCGAGCTCTCTCAGATGTCTCCAAACGTTGGCTGGCACAATGATGGCTACAGTTCTCTCCACCGTCTTGATGCCAAGTTCCCGAAGTCGTTGATACAGCTTGTCGTATGTCAATCCCTTCAGGAAGGCGCCGGCAACGTCCCATGACTCGAGGGGCTCTCTCTTGTTGGTTGCCGTGATTACCAGCAGGCGTTGGGAAAGCCTCGTTGCCGTTGTGCTGCGGTTCGACATCGCATGCTTGAAGGGATCGTGGCAGCCTCGTGCGCACAACCGTGACTTCACCAATTTCCGAAGCTCTGTGCGCTTCCACTTGCGCACCCAGATGCTATCGATGAGAACAGCATCTTGGCCTAGGTCCTGAAGCTTGACCTTGCGGAACGCTTTCTCTTTGACGAATTGGGCGATCTCGCTCCTGTCAGCTTCTTCGACCTGCTCCCAGATCGGGTAGACGTCGTCCTCGTGGATTGCGTCTGTGCTTGCATCCATTTTGTAGATGCCGCCGACGCGGATGTCGGCGTAGTACTTGTCTGCATTCGCGCTGTGCATGGAGAAGAGGTGACTGGTTGACCGTGTAGATCTTCCGTTGTCCATCTCTGCTTCCTCAGTAGTTGTGCCGAAAAACGTCTCCTCCGTGGTAGTGCCATTTGAGGTATCTTCGCCTTCTGGTATCTGGATCAGGTTCCGGCGTCGATGCATAGTGAGGAAGGCTTCCTGCATGTGGTCGCCGTAGTCAAAGTACTCGGTTCTCTGCTTCTTCTGCTCGGGACCAAAAGAGACTGTACGTGTCTCTGGTCCTGATCGTTTCTCTTCTCTTATGGTGCCATCGTCGATCTGCGTGGGTGCTGGTTGTGGTGCATGAGGTGCTTGAGGAACTTGGAGTGTAGGTGGTAGTAGTGCTTGAGGTAATGGTGGTGGATGGTCTGAGGTTTCATCTGTCTTGCCGTCCTTGTACTGGTAGAAGTAGGCCATGCAAATGTCGTCACGTTCATGAGCGTTCATCTTCTTGGTGATCATGGTCTTGCCTTGGTTGTTCTCCATGATCGTGAGCCTGCTCGTATTCCTGGGCCAGCTTACGAGCGTGCCCTTTGAGTTCGGTGGTGTAGTCACTTTTCGCAAACCAACTCCTCCTCGAACTCCATGGCATGGTCCGTCCATCACAAAGGATGAGGCATTCTCGACATTCTTGAGCAACTGATCGAGTTCTGAAGTTGGTAGGTCTCCAGGAAGGATCCTCCACTTGTTCTTGCAGTTGACATAGCCGAGGGTGTGCTCCTTGTAGGGAATGATGCCCTCGATGTGCTTCATGATTCTTCGCAGTGCTCTCCATGACTCCGTCTCTTCCGTGTCGTTGAGATCGTTGTCCATAAAGAACACTCCTCTGAAATGGCGAACACATCGTATGGGCACCAAGTAGGGCTTCCCTTGGTAGTCGATGACAGCGTTTCCATCGCCAACCTTGAGAAGTGTAGCAGGTCCTCTCCAGCCGAAGTCATCCATGCCTTCTCTGTGGAACTCCACCTCCGTGACGCCAGGCTTGAACTCGCCTAGTGGGGTTTGTTGAGGTCTGGTGTGCGTCCTGCTCTCACCAATCGTGACTCCATGATGCTCTGCGTCGCAGCAGTGAGTGCCGCTTGTCGTAGTCGAAGTGCTTGCTCGTAGACCGAAACTGCGAGCTGGTCCGAGGTGCTGTGGATTGACTGCAGGCCAATGGAGTCCACGTCGTAGAAAGGAAAGGGAAGCGCTCCCGTGACACACATGTGTGGCGTGTAGCCACCCAGGTTGAGAGTCAGGTTCTGTGCCATCGAAGCCTCCATGGCAATGTCGCCATAGTCGATGTGCGCGTGCTGCCTCTCCAGCTCGGCCTTGGTCTTCATCATCACGAGCTTGGTCAGGTCGACGTGCTTCTCGACCAGGCCGGTGGCTGTCTTCTTCGATGATGACGTGCCTTTTGTAGTACCCGATGGATTCCTGCGAATGTTGAGCCGCTCGAATTCGGCTCCTGCCTCATGTGACATCAGGCAGCTTTCTTGATCGCACGTGATCGTGCGTGGCGGTCCAAACCATCGGAACCAATTGACCAGCAGGGCCTTGAGCGTGGTTCGCAAGTCCCTGCCCTGCACCTTGATCGCCGCCTTGTACCGAGTGGCGACATCGACGACGAGCATGAAGGTGCTCTCCCACAGGAAGAAGAAGTCCACCTGGATCTCCTGGTTGAACGTTGTCACGTGTCCGGTCTTGATCTGTGGCCGATTTGGCAACTTCGTGAAGCGGTTGCACACCTTGCATTGGGCCACAGACTTGGAGATCATGCTGATGACCGATTTCGGCATGCCACTTCTGATCAAGAGGTTGGTCATGTCACCAACTCCTGCGTGCCAGAAGCGATCGTGTAACCCAAGCAGTAGACGCTCGGCTTGTAGATGGTCACGTTCAGCAAGACGTGGTAGTCGATGTAGCACTCGCCTGAAGTCATAGAGAGGCTTCACGGGTGCTCTGATGACTCCCTGCTCGGTGTCATCTTGGTCAGCCGTGTCCTCGATGACGTCTTCTTCTTCTTGATTCTGCTCGCGTTCAGCTTCTTCTGCCATTCGCTGGATGGGGTCGTCCTCGATCACCTCGTCAGACTTGTCTTGACAAACAGCGATCATCACCCATCAGCTGCCTTGACGCGTCCTTCTTGTTCCACACATCGCTGCCAACCAGCTTGGCTCCTTCCTTGTCGTAGGGGTCGGCGATGGTCTTCCGTTCCTCCATGAGCTGTTCTGAGGACACCGGGCATGATGTACTGGTCGGCACAAACATGTCCTTCCGGGGCTTCACGTGATGCCGCCGAAGAATGCCGGCCGTGTCATCCAGATCCCAGTGATCCTGGTCGTTGGGAGCAGATCCAAAGACCGCGATCAGCCAGCCATCGTGCATGATCTTTGTTCTGGGCTGGCTCAGTGTCCGGATGTCTTCCATAGGCATCGCAGACCAGTTCTTGACGTCGCCCTTGAAGACCATTCGCCACGGTGCGGAAGCTGTCCTCAAGTAGGGCATTGGGAGTGGCATCTCCTCTGCGTGAAGTGTGCAGCAGATGCCCTTCACATCGATGACCCGCTTGAGGATCTTCCGAGCCACTGCCAGATAGACTGGATCCTCCGTCCAGTGCCGGTACTTCTGCTTGTGTGCCTCGATCACGTTGACGCTTTCTTCCACGATCTTCATCAGCAGAAGCTTGAGCATGAGCGTGTCGATGGCGGGCATCTCGTAGGTGATCTGCAGCTTGATGTCATGGATGGTAGGATGCCGCATGGCTTCTTTCTTGAACTGCTCAATGAGGTCTGGCAGTGTGGTGGTCACGTTGCGGGTGACCTTGACTGATGACGCCGTCGCAGGCGTTGGCAGAGACGATGCATGACGGCATTCTCGTGGGACCAAGCTGTGCTCTGCGCCTGGAGGAGCTTCCCGGCCAAGTCGACACTTGTCACACTTGTAGTAGATGTTGTAGCTCTGGTTGTTGTAGTTGAGCTTGCTGAGATATCGCTTGATGTCTGCGATGATTGCCTTGCAGAAGCCTCTGGGGTAGACAGCAGCCACAGTGACAGTGGTCCGTTGTCTGCCCTTGTGGTCGGCTCCTTGAAGCTGCGAGTGTTGTTGGTGTCGACCCTGGCATCGCTTGTTGCAATTGCGAAGAGCCATGTTGCCCTGTAGTCCAGTTGGCTTCATGACGGGGATGCGATTCTCATCGCATGCTCCGTGCATGCATTGATCTGCTCGGATTCTGCAGCGACAACCTTCGATCTCGTTGAGGAGGGACATGACCGATGAGGTCCACATAGCCGAGCCCCATGGTTGCTCCAGCAGGAATGCCTTGAGTCGTTCAGCTTGTCGATGGCAGAGTTTATGAAGGAAGCACAGTCCTTCATGAGCTGCTTCTCGATCTTGTTCGCGATCAGCTTTATTCCTGCGGTTGGATGACACACTCCAGGGCTTGCACTCCGGCGATATGAGGACCACATCGGGGTCCATCATGTCCTGCGCCTGGAACAGCATCTGTTGGTGTTCTCGATTGCCGATGTCCCATCCGTACCTCAGGTCAACGGGAAAAGCCACCATCAGGCCTCCGATCAGCGCCATGAGGGAGAGCCTGGAGCTTCCGGAGCAGATCTCCCAGAAGTTGCACTTCTTCTTGCCTGGCGACTTTGCCCACTGGTGGAAGTTGTCGGGTCGTATGACACGTCGCCCTGTCTTCTGGTAGAACTCCTCCGGCATGAGTTCGTATTGGCGTTTGAGTTGCTGTTGCTTCTGTGCTGGTAGATCTTGAGGTACTTCATCTCCTTGATATGTCGTGGGCAGGTTGAAGTAGCTCTCATCTAAACATGAGAAGGTCATAGTGGGATTGACTCTCCGCCAATCGTCATAGACATCGTATGCTGGATGATCACCTTGAGGTTGTAGTTCGGTATGTCGTTCATCTCGGATGTCACCGATGTCGATTCCGGGAGGCAACTCCGCATGGACTTGGAGCTTCAGGTCGTCGCAGAAGCGTTGGGTCATGCCGCTGTGCTTCAGCCACAAGAAGCTCCGGCCAACAGCATTGATGTCCAGCCCTGCGCGTGCCTGGGCTTCTTCAAACCGAAGATCCCATTCCAGAGAGTACTCCTGGAGCGTCATGCTGGCCTTCTTGCGGAAGTCAAAGAAAGCTTCGAGGGCCTTGGTGAGGAGCTGCTCGTCCGTCTGCCCGAAAGCGGTGCGAAGTGCATTGCAAAGTGCCTGCGCTCCACTCGGGATCGCGTGCTGCAGGATCCGCGTTGGGTCAGCTGGATCCCTGACCTCATCCACACTGAGCCTGACCAGCGCCGCGTCCCCAGTGTCTGTCAACCCATCCGGGCGGATCAGCTTGAGCTCCAAAGCCACGCGTTGTGCCCTCGGGCCTAAACGGCCTGCGACAATGGGGCCGACGCACTTGTCGGGCACCTCTGTCTGCCTGTACCATAAACGAAGCCTCTGGAAGTACGTGGTGAGCGTGTAGTTGGGGTCCCCAGGCTCCCAGCCTGGTGGAAGGTCTCGCCTGAACTCCGTCGAACTTTGTCAGCGGCCGCCGCCGCCAGCCGGCGTCGCCATGATGAGGAGGCAAGCAAGCCAGGTGAAGAAACCCAGCCGGTGCGGCCCTCGTGCTTGCCTGGCCAGTGGCCGAAGACGCTGCCCGGCCCTGCTCTTATGCGGTGATACAGTAGCGCTGGTGGTCTCCTCAGGAGGCCAGCGTGATTCCTTGGTGGTGGTGTTCACCTCCGCCTTCTCCAGGGCAGCGGAGCTGCCCGATCGCCTGAAAGGCAATCGGCCGTGTCGGCCACGGTAGCCAAGCTATGGCGCGGCAGGGAGAACGAGGCTCCGCTACCAAACTTGAAGAAACTCTGTTTTGATGGGCTCAAACCGCGGCTGCGGTCGGGTCAATGTCATGCATGAAACTTCACTTAAACCTTTACCACGCTGCGCCGTCAAGCACAGCAATGCGTTGTTGTGATTTCGGCTGTCCCCTGAAAGCCCGTCCAACGTTAGGAAGGATATTTCCATGCATCTTTGTCCATGGAAGTCTGCGGAACAAAGTACGGTCTGCGCAAAGCAAAAACGGCACACACAGTTGATGTGACCTGGCCTCCTGTTGAAGTGCTGATGGTTTGTTCCAACAGAAACAATACTCAGTTTTCACTGTGAGTCTTTTGTTGGATACTCTACAAACAGGGCGCAAACAAGGAACATCAGCTGCAACATGTCACAGATCAACCAGCATGAACTCAACACCTGAAATGGCCTGAAACACGCACATGCTTCGCTTAGACTTCAGGGGTTCTTCCCTTGACCTGTGCAAATGCTGGATCCTTTCAACATGATCGTCAATTGAAAGCAGAAATGCTGCACTGCTCTAGTGGGTTCTGTCGGGCCTGCTCACGCTGTGTCTCAACTGGTGCAGGAGGTGGAGGAACCTGAACAAGGCCACATGCCTCGAAGCGATCAGTCATGTAAGCTGATCGCTCGACCAACGCCACAGCCTTCATCAGGATTTGCCAAGTTGGCTTAAGGAATTCGTCTTGAAGAATCTCTTCGGACTTGGCGGCCCTCTGGGAAAACAAGCCCTACGCGAAGGTCAGTGGAACTACGGCAAGGGAGCCCTCACAACACACTTGAAATTGAATTCAAGCTGCTCCATAGTAACTCCCGTGCATTTTAAGAAATTCGCAATCTAGAGCCTGGCTCGCTCCCCACAGCCGCGACCAACGTGTGTGTGCAGGATACAAATGTGCCAGGACAATCAACGCTAGCGATAGAGGGGTGGGAAGCTGTTGATCCCGGGCATGCCCTGCGGATAGCGTTGGGACATTCCTCCAAGGCAGCCAAACACAAACTTTGCCGATTTCAACCGCTCAAAGCCGCGTTCTTGTAAACCTTTACCACGCTGCGCCGTCAAGCACAGCAATGCGTTGTTGTGATTTCGGCTGTCCCCTGAAAGCCCGTCCAACATTAGGAAGGATATTTCCACTCATCTTTGTCCATGGAAGTCTGCGGAACAAAGTACGGTCTGCGCAAAGCAAAAACGGCACACACAGTTGATGTGACCTGGCCTCCTGTTGAAGTGCTGATGGTTTGTTCCAACAGAAACAATACTCAGTTTTCACACTGGGGCAAGCAAGGCGGAGAGGTAAGAATGGCAAATCGAAATTGCCTTCAACGTACGACTCGAACAAAGGTGGTCAAGACCATGACAAAGGAAAAGGAGGCATCGACGCAGGAAAGGGCAAGTCAAAGCCCTTCGCCTCCACAGGAGACGGAGCAGCAGCCAGCCACACAGGCGACTGTTGAGAACCCACCGCCGGCCAGCGCCGATAGTACTCCGATTGGTCACAGGAACAATGGGATTCATCATGGGGATGGAACGACTACCAAGGCTGGCGCACTTCAAGGATGCCCACTATGGTAAGACTTGCGCGCACAAAACCTCGCAGTTGCATCCATGAACCAGAGACTGCTAGCTAATAGTTCATGGCGCCGGTCATGAACACACAACAGAATCCAACCTTTGCAATCCTCGACAGCGGATGCACCAGGTCAATGGGAAGCTGGTGTGCAATCCAGCGGTTCACACAGGCAATTGAATCACCTACTCCTACATTCCGGCTGAGACGAAGTTCTGCCAATGGTGAGTCAGCTAAGGTTTGCAGCTTCAAGACAACACGACTCCACCTGCACACGCAACCATCGACGTTCTTGAGCAAAGAAACCGTCCCGATACTCCTAAGCATCAGTCAGATGAGGAACTTGCACATGACCATCGGGCGCACTCCACAGTGCGACAAGATCACATGTGAAGCTTTCGGAGTGCGCAAGCAACCAGTTCCTGTGTCTTGTGCAGGACATGCCCTCATCGACGTTGCAGGCGTGGCAAAGATCAAGGAGCACGGAGACCTTGCTTCAAAAAGTTCGAGTCATTTTGTCTATGATGGTGACGACAGCATAAAGGTAACCTCGCTTGAGCCCAGTGTTGAACTAACAGTTTGCGCAGTCACACCGTGGACAGAGATTCCTAAAGAAGCAAAGACTCCTCAGGACATTGGGATTCCAAAGCAAGACCATAGGATCCTCGACGAGAAGAACAACCAGTTGACACGCGTACGCATTACACCCAGAAAAGCATTGTTCACCGCGACTGGGAAGCGTTGCTCAACACCTGCGGGCAACATCAGCCGCGTCGCTCAACACATATGACTGGCGCCATCCATGGTGGAGTGCCACAAGTCCGTGATGATAACTGGAGAATCAACTCCCAGGCTCATCAGCCTGTGAAGATCAGGACTTGCAAGACAATCTTTAAAATTATGCAGACAAGTCTCTCAAGGAAGCAGAAGGTTCGACAGGATCGGCAGCTGACAGGATTATCGACAAAGAGGGCCGGTCGACCATTGAGCCAACTCCTGCAGCAGCACCGACAAAGACGGAGCATGCTCTTGGCCGAGTTCCGAATAATCTCAGCCAGAAGAACTGAAGAAACTCCACCTGGTGCATCGTCACACGCGTACAGAACAATTTCGATTTCCAACGCGTTGCGTCTTCCGAAAGAGATCTACGACTTGTGCGAGAAGGTTCGCGCAGAACGCGAAGTTTGCCAGAAGGCGAAGGCTACACCCTCGAGAAGCAAGACGCATTTGGTGATATGACTTTCATCGACCACTGTCAAGTTCCACTGAGCCGGAGAAAGTCTCATTGTTCTTGTAACTCTAGATGAAGCAGCGACATTGTTCACTGCTGAAGTAGTTCCATCAACTCCAGAGCTTGAGAATATCAACATGACAGTTGTTGGACCAGGCCTTTATGACAGAGAGACAGAGACCTGGGAGCACTTTTTTCAGTCCCTCGACATCATGCCGGTATCTCTGGGGCCGCGCACTCCTTCGCCAAAGAGAGCAGAGACTGAGTTCGACTCCCGAAGGCGCAGATCAAGATCATGCTGAGCTCTATCAACGCCGGAATGGCACCTCCAATGCTCAAGAAGGTTACGCGTCGCCAACTTGTTAAGGCAGCCGCGACAGTTCGGAACCAGACCGTCGCCTATGGCGTAGTGACGCCGCTGGAGCTTGCATTCGGCAAAAGGCCTGCTGATCTTGTACAGCTGGATGTCGCAACACCGGCGCAGTCGACCATCGACAAACTGCTGACAAGCTAACTGCAGCGCAAGTCAAGCAACTTGCCAAACAAGCTTTTTAAAAAGTTCGACAGTCAGAAGATGTTCGACGAGATCTTGCGCAGAACCTTAAGAATGAGCTCAAACCATTCAGCATATCAAGGTATTCTACTTGCAAGAGGACAAGTCCAAAATCAGATCAGATGGCAGCAAGGCATTTGGTTAAAAAAGGCAAGGTGGTTTCGCTCGAACGAGCCATGATAGGACTCGACCTTGTAACGCGACTTATCAGGGAAAACAGTACAAAAGTTCAAAAGGACGCGGCAACTCCCCCAAGCAAACCTCGACTTGCTGTTGCCTGAAGAGAAGTCAGACAAGGGCCCGCACCACCTCCAAAGGTACCTGCCGGAGCGGAAGTTTACGTGGAACACTTATCCTCCACTCATGAAGCACACTGGAACTGTGTTAGAAAGGGTAAGATTTATGCTCTCGAGGTCTTCGCTGGCAGCGCGCGATTTAGCCAATGCTGTGCCGTGACAGGAATGAAGGTAGGAACACCAGTAGATATCAGAAACGGTTGCGACGTGATGACATCTGCAGGACGCGACGTGGCCACGGAGATCATCCGAGAACAAGCGCCCGACGTCATCCTCATGGCGCCCGTGTGTGGGCCCTGGTCAAACATTCAGAACATTCAGAAAGTCTAGGAGAAGCGCAAGCGCTATCTTCCCATGGTTGAGCTTGCGGCGCCCGCAGCACGATATCAGTTAAAACATATTGCGTGGTTGAGGTTCCCAAGACATCAAGGCTGCATCAGTTAAACTGCATTCAACAACTCTTGGGAACATACCTTGTTACCTGGGGTGGTCTCGACTTTTGCGCCCATGGCTTGCAAGATCCTGAGACTAAGCTGAGAAGTCTAAAGCAGACCAGCCTTCTTCATGATCTTCCAGCAGAAGTGATGGAGCCGATCTTCAAGCGACGCAAGAACAGAACAAGCTTCGAAGCATCAACCTCTTGAAGGCAACGCTGGTAGCGCTGGCAGCAGGACAAAGCTGGCACAAGTATATCCGACCAGTTCTGTCAAGACCTTGCGCATTTCATTCTTCGACACTTGAAGGTGAAGCCACTTGACCAAGGGGTGTTTATCATTGAAGACATCTTGGACCTTGGAGTCATTCGCCGACAAGCAGTGCATCGATCTCAGAAAAGAGCTGGAAGACATTGACGCCGAGCACAACATGACCAGCAGTAGTACTGTTGTCAACATTCAGGATCTTCCCTATAACCGACAAGTTCAGCCACTTGCATTAATGATCCAGTTGTGCAGAAATGTCAATGAACAATGAAGCAGTACCCTCCCGGCACAGACGCCGGCGTGATTGGAATCAACATGTCCTCGACATCTCCACCAGATGATGCATGCTCCACCAGATGATGCATGTATTTTCTTGTGGCTACCCGGACAATTGAATCGCATTTGGGCGTTGCCAGCGCACAAGTATGACTGGGGTGAGTTTGGTCCAAGACAGTACTCTGCCATCCACAATGCTCTTTCAGAAGCAGCAGTGATCAAGCCGATGCCCGTCGATCCTGATCCACCAAAACAGTCACCGCCGCAAGGACCACCACCAGGTCCTCCAAAGCGACCTGATTAGTCCATGCCAGATCCACCTTTCCACCAGACGGTTGACCTGCCTAAGCAAGTCAAAACGTGCTATCCTAGCACCGTATAGTATTTTCATGAGCTGCATGAGGTGCGAGTTGTCCACGAACAGGCTCCGGGTGAGCTCCTTCCGAAGTCCCTCCTGCTTGGCATGATGGAGTTTCATAACCATTCGCGGGAACTCTGTTTCCACACCAATTACACTCGACCGACGGTCCGGTCTGTATAGGAGCCCTTGAAGGGTGATCCTTGGTCTCTTCATGGGGACCAGGTGTAGGAACTTTCTTCAACTCAACGTTGCCAGCTACTTCAAGGTAGCGATCGACACAAGAGCGCAGGAACTGCTCCATGTCGTAAGTCACAGTGGTGACCTTATGGCCGTTGCCGAGAACCACAGTATCTTTGGACTGATTGCATCCCAGATATAAATCCAGGCCGGTTTCCGGCTCAATGATCAGCTTCTCTCGAAGAAGCTCCCAACCCTTTTTGAGGTTGTTCTTTGGACCAGCCATCTTAAAGTCGTCCACGTAGACCACAAGAACTAAATTTAGTTCAGGATGGATATAGACAGAAGGCCATTCTTCGCCAACTGGCTCAAAACCCATTGCACGCACCGACTCATCGCAGTGCCCAAAATGTACCAG